CAGTGTTTGAGTATTCCAACAGACTTGGTCAGGCCCAGAGCCTTTTGAGGTTCCAGGGGAAAACCAAAATTAAGTTAGTTTTAATTTTGTTGTTGTTGTTGTTAACTTTGAGAGTTTGTGAGAGTGACACAAAGGCAAGAGATTATGTTTGAGGAGTGAAGTAATGATAAAGGAAGACTGTCTGCTCATCTTGCTTTTATGGATTCGTACATATACACCAGTTGAGAACAGAATATCCAGAAAAGAATGCATCTTTGATTTCTATTTAAAAAGGAACTTCTAGTGTTTGGGTTTAGCCAGCAAGTTTATTTTAAACTTATTTATTTATTTATTTATTTATTTATTTATTTATTTATGAGCAAAAACTGACAACATAAACACACAGACCAAAGCTTCTCAGCAGGCTTTTGGTCTTCTTGCCTCTGAGAGACTGAATGAAATTTAGTGCAAAAAAGTGAGAAAGGCTGCCTAGAGTTCTTAGAGAGAACGTGCTAGCTTTCCATCCCTTCCAGTGCTTTTGTGGAGAACACTGCTGCTCGCTGGTCTATCCCTCTCTCAGAGACAGCCTCAGGGAGGAAACACTTATTTTAGTTCATAATTTTAGTACTAAAATAAAAAACATAGTACCTTTTTCTTTTCTATGATTAAAAAAGTATCCCTTAATTTATATGTTCAGAACAGCCTGAATTGACATTGTTTTCTTCCCAGTTGTCCCCAGGGATCTTTATCTTACCTCCTGATAGTCCGTTCATCTGCCTGGTGACACTCACCATTGACTCTGCTTCCCCTTACTGCTCTGAAACTGGTTACTTCAGGGGGACCCTTCTCTTTCAGAAGAATAGGGCAGGTATTCTGGAATGAAGTGGCTACTTGTTGAAGCCTTCCAAGAAGAGCCAGGGTCCAGATTCTACCTGGGCAATAAGAAGTTTTCCTGAGTCAGACTGAACTGGGAGATCTGGAAGGGTTAGGGCAACAGACCTCAGTGGTGAAGGACCTGACAGAGGAATCAAGAAACCCAGGCTAAAAGCTTGGAACTTGGCTGTAGCTGGAGCTCTAATATCACAGATGACAGTCAAGAGGGGACGTGAATCCAGCGGCTCATTTATATTTTCTATACTGTAAAGACCTGCTTCAGAATAGGGGTGGACGGTGTCTGCCCTGTTCCTCCCCCTCTAGCAGCCAGCCCACGTCTTCTTTATCTCTGAGCTATCAGGCATCCAGCCACCACATCAGTTCAGTAACTTGCCTAAGTACATTAATTACCAACAAGCTTAATAAGTAGTTGTATAAATAATTCTCATTTTCTTTTCTGTGTATGTGTGCTGAATAGTCCCAACTCACAATGTAATTAGCTACTTCTAAGCAAAAATACTGTTTTGGCTTTAATATTTTCTTTCATATTAGTTCAGAATCATACTTCCCACCAATACACATTTTTTGAGGCAATAACTACTCAGCACTATTGGAGCTTTCTTGATACAGTGACAGAGCTAATCTAAAACAATGGCCAAATTGTTAAATCCCCCCAATGAGTAAAGAAGCTACCATAACTCTTCCATGCCTTCCAGTTCTTATTAAAATGAAAGAAACATTGCTGCAGTGGGAGCTGGATGGAAAATAATAGTCATTTTCTGCATTAGGAGTAGAAGATGTAACTCAGACTTCAGCCAGAAAATTGCAGTTCCTTAGCAGGGACAATTTAAATAAATTTCATAGGCTGTAGAGATCTAACTTTGTAATGATTTGACAATATAAAATTAGCCTTTTCTGCTGTTAGGATTATCAGTATTCCCATTGGTAATATAGGCTGTGGAATGACATTGCCCCGCTGTGTATTTGAGCATCATTAAAGTCATCAAAGAGTTAAAAGTTACTTTGGAAGTAAAACTGCTACAAATACACAAGTTTTTCAAGTTGCCACATTTTACATCTTCGTGGAGAGACAGTGTAGTTGCTGCATTTTTATGTCCAGATTATATTACAGATATATTTCAATAAACCACCATGAACCACCAGAGCCTCTAGAAACAGGCAGTCTGTGCTTAAATAAACATCTCGGGAAGTATCTGTTTTATTTTATAGGCTCTGTAATCACAGTGACATTCTGAAGGAAGACCTTGAAGTTTACAGAACAGCTGTCCTTCACAACTTCCCAGACTTGAAGCTGGGCAGCAACAATGCAGAACAGGACATGGGGTGTCTGGCATGAAATGGCTGCTGTGGTGAGGCAGCCATCATGTTCCAGGGCTTCAAACTGAAAAGACTGACACGTGATGAAACTGGTGCGCACTGCCCATGCTTGCAGACATCCTAGTCTATTTGTCTATAAATGATTTGTTTTTTATTATTAGTGAACTTCTTACATTCAGCGCCTTCTTGTAGCAATGTTTCTGAGACAGGTTTGTCCATAAATATACAAATGTTTACTTTGGTGAGCAGGGGAGGGAGGTGTAACCTTTGGCTGATGTACAGTCAGGTAAGCAGCTCAGGACTTATCTACCATAGCTACCAACCGACAGGAAGGACCTCAGCAGGTCTAAGCAATAGTTGAGTTCCCAGATTTCCAAGTTCACTCTAGATAGAGACCCCTTAGTCTAAAGCTGGTTCTTGAAATGTGGTCTCAGGACCAGTAGCACCAATAGGACTGGGAACTTCTTTTGAAAAAGCTCTACAGAAGCTTCTCAGTTTTAGAAGGTTCCATTTATTAATTGTTGCTCTCAGTGATAAAATGGGTCTACACTGATTACACTATGATTTCCATTAAAAAAGATTTCATTTCATATGACCTTCAAGCTACAGTTAGAGATACACCAGCCCTCATAAGATGTTATCCTTTTAATCCACACAAATTATAAAATGAAGAGTCTTCAAGACTTTTCTTCACTGTGATTATTTTTAAAACCAGATGAAGTCAGAAATGCCTGCCATGCGCATTATGCTCTGTTATGGTTAGAGTTGCTGTGTATGCTGTCACCAGAGATGCTGCTTATAAAACACTGATGAGCACTGACTCACTCTCTACCCTTGGGAAAAAGTGAAGTGTTGTGGCCTGTGGGAGACAAGCAGTCAGATTTTAAAACACAAACTCTTTCTGATGAATTTGAATCACCATGCTCCCCTCTGTCTTCCTTGTACCAACCTTGCTGCACCCTTAGTACCCAGTAGTACTAGCAGGGCACTTCCCAGAATGAAGTACCTCTTCTGCGATCTTCCCAGGGTCCAAACAGTCCACAGGCCAGTTTGATGAGCCATTCCAGAAGTGCAGATTTGGAGGGAACAGTTTACTTCTGCTGTCTAACAGTTAATGACTCACATCTCATAGAATTATAAGGGGGGACAGCAGAAGGGCTTGGCAGGTTATGAAATTCTTAGAGCCTATTGAATAGATGAAGTTAGTATGACTGCAGCCCTGCCTTGCTCAGCAAAACATGGCACTCAGACATGTCTTTCTAATGTTTAGAATAATGCAGTGAGTCTGGGTTACAGTGTAGACCATTTTGTGAGACTCAGCAGGAGTGGCATGAGGTATCTAGATTTTGCAAAGCTTTCTGGCTGTTTCTGTATGCAGTCAAACATGAGAATGCTTATTAGCAATAACATCATAACAAAATAAATTTTTAAAAAAGAAGGACTTGGGAAAGATAACTTTTTTATATTGATTTTATTGAGCTATATATTTTTCTCTGTTCCCTTCCTCTTCCCACCCCTTCAGCTCTCTCCCATGGTCCCCATTCTCCCAATTTATTCAGGAGATCTTGTCTTTTTCTATTCCCATGTAGATTAGATACATGTATGTCTCTCTTAGGGTCCTCATTGTTGTCTAGGTTCTCCAGGATTGTGATTTGTAGGCTGGTTTTCTTTGATTTATGTTTTAAAACCACTTATGAGTGAGTACATATGATAATTGTCTTTCTGGGTCTGGGTTACCTCACTCAACATGTTTTCTAGCTCCATCTATCTGCAAATTTCAAGATGTCATTATTTTTTTCTGCTGTGTAGTACTCCATTGTGTAAATGTACTACATTTTTTCTTATCCATTCTTAGGTTGAGGGGCATTTATGTTGTTTTCAGGTTCTGGCTCTGACAAATAATGCTGCTATGAATATAGTTGAGCACATGTCCTTTGGGTATATACACAAAGTGATATTGCTGGGTCTTGAGGAAGGTTTTTCTGAGAAATCATCATACTGATATCCAAAGGGGCTGTATCAACTTGCACTCCCACCAGCAATGTAGGAGTGTTCCCTTTACCCGACAACCTCTCCAGCATAAGTTGTCATCAGTGTTTTTGATCTTGGCCACTCTTGCGGGTGTAAGATGGAATCTCAGAGTTGTTTTGATTTACATTTCTCTGATGACTAAGGATGTTGAGTATTTCCTTAAGTGTCTTTCAGCCATTTTAGATTCCTCTGTTGAGAGTTTTCTGTTTAGGTCTGTACTCCATTTTTTTATTGGATTATTTGTTCTTTTGATGACCCAATTTCTTGAGTTCTTTTTATATTTTGGAGATCAGATCTCTGTCTGATGTGGGGTTGGTGAAGATCTGGGAAAGATAACTTAATGGGTCAGATAAAGAGATATGTAGATCCTGGGGACTCACTGAGAGTTGTCTATCTGGAACAGCAAGTTTCAGATTCATTAAGAGACCCTGTCTCAAAAGTTAACGTGGAGAGTAATAGAAGACGCCCAATGACCTCTGGCCTCCACATCTGTACACACAAGTGAGCACAGCCAGACATAAGATACATACACACATACAGACACATGCACTCAAAGACAGACACACATACACACACGTCACAGGGGACTTTGAACACAGTTTTATTGTCTCAAATATGTTAGGTTTCAGACTTTTCTTGATAAACATTGTTCTAGTTAGTAACTTGGCTATAAGGCCTTTAAAAATATGGGAATTTTTTAATTTACCCATTTCTACATATATTTCCAGATCTCTGTCTCTCTCTATATATATAGTGTGTCTCCTATTTCTGTCTTACAGATCTGAACAAGTACCAAATTGGCACTTACTGAAGACACAAGGACAATGTATGAAGGAACATGATAATTCTCTTAAAGAAGAGGTATGTGGTGAGGTTATTTTCTTAGTTACAACCAAGGACTAGGGTTAGTAGTAACTTTCATTTAAATAAGTTCCAAGATTATGCAAGCTGTTTGTTTGGAGAAATAGTATATTCTGAATAATAAACATGTTTGAAAAAATGATAACAGTGGTGAGGTTTCATGATTGGCAGATAATATTTTTGACTTTCTGATCTTAGACCTTTTACATATCTGTGAAAGGATCTAACTCTGACTTACTGTTGATTCCCAGAGATATTTTAAATATATCCACTACAACATCGTCAGAGTTTAGAAACATCTGTAACATACCGGTTTTCTGTCAGTGTGTCCTACTTAAAATATTGTGAAGTCATTAAGGTGAAGCCAACAGATACATTTTTCTGCATTATTGTGCACAGGTTCATTGGAAGGAAAGAAATAAGTGACATATGGCCCTCTCTTGCTGAGGACTGGGTACCAGAAAGGGAGGCCAGCTACCTGGAGGAGCAGTGAGGGAAAGCTTTTGATGGAAGTACAGGGACATGTAAGATGTGACCCATTAGAAATTGGCTTTTTGACTAAGTGAGACCAGGGAGGTGTTTGGGGTGACAGGGAAGAGCTGTTAGAAACCAGCACATATGAGGCAGTAGAACCAGTCTTTTTTTCAAGACTTATTCTATTTTTAATTGTGTGTATGTGGAAGTAAATGTAGGTGCTTGTGAAGGCCAGAAGAGGGTTACATATCTCCTGGAGTTTGGAACACGACTGCAGGCCTTTGGGCAGGGCAAGATGGCTTTTACTTAAAAAGTGGAGTAAACAAGCAGTTTCTCAAACATGTAGGTGTGGCCAAAGAAATTCACAAATCCAGAGAATAGTATTAGTACCAAAATGACAACATGCCCATAAACTTCAATACAAAATGCATGTGTAATTTCTGAAGATGATTTGTGCATGCGTGCGTGTATGTTCATGTGCTTGCAAATGTATGTGCTGCTGGATATTGAACCCAGAGTCTTGTTCATGTTAAACACATGTTAATCTTTACATCCCCAGCCTTCATCATCCTCCTGTGATTAGCTAAATAGAGTATCAGAGTTATTTCTGTGTATTGAAACAGGATAGTTATTTAGTAGATACAGTGGGTTAAATATCCCTCTTTAGAGAAAATCTTAAAAGTAAGTGATTTTGAAAATTTAAGAATGCTCCATTGGAAATTTAAAGTCTAATGAAGCCCAGAAGTATTTACTTTGATCTCTTGGGGAAAAGGCTAATTAAACAGCCACATGTAAATGATGTTTACCTGTGGGCCCCTGTGCTGTCAGCTCTAGTCAATCCCTTCTCTTGAGTAAACACATGACCAAAGCCATGGAGACCAGGGAAGATCTGTCAGCACCCTCATAACCCAATAGGCAATTACATAATTGAGCTGCATGCTTTTAATTCACAGAAATTTGTAATGACTTTGTGTGGGGGAAATGAGCTGGGAGTGTCATTAAAATACAAAGTGGCTTAATACTTCTTTTCTCCCAAGTGATATCTGTTTCAACATGGGCAGACTGTGACACAAAGGAGCAGCTCACTCAGAATTGGTCTGGTCCTGCCCCTCACATATTTTATTTACCAGAAAAAGTGTCCCCTAAATGATGGATTGTTTTCTGGTATCTCCTACATATTCATTTCCTGGCTCTTGTGATTAATTTCTTCGTCTTTTAAATGATGTGTGAATAAAATTCCTCTCCTTGCTTTAACTCAGGAGTAACTGGTACTGGTGTATGTGTTTTTCTTCTGGAAATTATTTCTCTGTGACCAAGAGGAAGGATTTTGAGGACGTGGTAGTTAATTCTGGGAACTATCATCACTGCCATTATGCCTCTGGCACTGCTTGTGCATAGAAGAGAGCTTAACTCCCCAGGTGCTTTCCACTTCCTTCCTCTCTGGATTCATGGTGCCTGTAAAAAGTACAGATTCTTTAGAGTTGGGTGTGATTTCTTTGAAGAAATAAGCAGAAAAATAAAATGAAACTGAAATGTTGAACAGAAAAGTGCCTCTGTGTTGTCATAAGTAATACTGTTGACATGAGGTATGACCTTTAATATTTAAAGTGTTTACAAATAGAACTAGGAGGATAACTGAGCGGTAGACTACATGCTTAGCACACAAGAATCTGGTTTCAGTCCACAGTAATACATGCACGCACGCATAAGCGCGCGCACACACACACATACACGTTGCACTGTCAGTGTTTGAACCTCCTTTTCCTGCTTGCCACAAAATGAATTTTCTTTAATAACATCCCATATTTTTGTGTTTCATTTTTAATGACTTTAATAGCCCCTGTCCATTAAATACAGTTTCCTGTCTCTATACACAGTCTCCTGTCCTTATACACAGTCCCTGTCCCTATACACAATCCCCTGTCATTATACACGATCCCCTGTCCCTATACACAGTCCCTGTCCCTATCTCAATCCCCTGTCCCTATCCCAATCCCCTGTCACTATACACAATCCCCTGTCCGCATCTTAATCCCCTGTCACTATACACATTCCCCTGTCCCTATCCCAATCCCCTGTCACTATACACAATCCCCGGTCCCTATACACAATCCCTGTCCACTATATACAATCCCGTCCCTATACACAGTCCCTGTCCACTATATACAATCCCGTCCCTATACACAATCCCTGTCCACTATACACAGGCCCCTGCCCACTTTACACAGTCCCCTGTCTTCTTTTAGTTGCCTGTTGAACATTTAAATTTATTCTTTTTCCCCACTAAGAAAGATTCATAAAATATCTATATAATTCAGGTTTACAAATATCATATTTCCTTAGAACAAACTCCTATGTTTAGTAAGATCAAGTCAAATATATGTATGTATGTATATGTGTATATGTGTGTATATATATATTTTTTTCAGGTTTTTGCTATGCATTACCAGATCATATTCTGGAAGGGTCATGGAGTTAAAAATAATGGCTAAATAAAATACTTATTTGAGTTCTTTCTTGTAGGCAGCAGAAAGATGGATTTTGTTTTTGTGTCCAGCCTGTTAGCCTGTGTCTTTTTATAGGTGATTTGAGTCTATTGAGCTTAAGGGATATTAATGACCTGTTTGTTTTTGTTGGTGGTGGTATTGCGTGTGCGCTTCTCTCCTTGGGTTCGAGTTTTCCTTCTAGTACTTTCTGTAGGGCTGGATTTGTGGATAGGTACTGATTAAATCTGGTTTTGTCATGGAATATCTTTCTTTTTCCATCTGTGTAGACTGAAAGCTTTGCTTGGGTGTAGTAGTCTGGGCTGGCATCTTTGGTCTCTTACCTGACCAGGACCTTCTGGCTTTCATTGTTTCCATTGAGAAGTCGGGTGTAATTCTGATAGGTCTGCCTTTATATGTTCCCTGGCCTTTTTCCTTTGCAGTTCCTAATATTCTTTATTCTGTATGTTTAGTGTTTTGATTATTATGTGACAAGGGGACTTTTTTTTTTGTCCAGTCTGTTTGGTGGTCTGTAAGCTTTTTGTATTTTCATAGGCATGTCCTTCTTTAGGTTAGGAATGTTTTTTTTTCTATGATTTTGTTGAATATATTTTCTGTGCATTTGACCTGGACTTCTTCTTTTTCAATTCCTATTTTTCTTAGATTTGGTTTTTTTTATGGTGTCCCAGATTTCCTGAATAGTTTGTGTTAAAAGTTAGATTTAACATTTTCTTTGACCAGTGAATCTATTTCTTCTGTTGTGTCTTCAATGCCTGAGATTCTGTCTTTTATTTATTGTATTCTGTTGTTTAAGCTTGCATCTATAGTTCCTGATCATTTCCCCAGATTTGTCATTTCCAGATTTCCCTCAGTTTTTGTGGTGTGTGTGTATTGCTTTTATTTTATTTTTCAATTTTTAAACCATTCACCTGTTTTATTGCTTTTTCTTGGTTTTCTTTAAGGGCTTTGTTGGTTTCTTCCAATTTTTTGTTTATCTTTTCTTCCACTTCTTTAAGGGAAATTTTCCTTCCTTCTTTAAGGACCTCAATCTTCTTCATAAATTTTTTAAGGTCATTTTCTTCTGTTTCATCTGCATTGAGATGTTCAGGACTTGCTGTTGTAGAACCATTTGTTTCTGATGGTGTTGTATTGCTCTTTATGTTATTGAGTGTATTCTTACCCTGTTGTCTACCCATCTCTTCTAATTGTGTTTCAGGGGGGTTCCTTTTCTTCCAGTTGATGTAGTTGGGGACTGTGGCTCCCTTGAAGGCTCTTTTAGGTGTAATCAGGGCAGAGGCTTTGGTCATCGGTCCTCTAGGTGCTTTCAGGCCCAAGACTCAGATGATCGCTCCTCCAGGTGCAAGTGGAGCTGAGACTGTGTTCAGATAATTTCTGGAGGCTACTGCTGTCACCATAGCCCACCATGCTGCTGGGGCTTCTCCCAGCCACAAGCCCATGCACCATACTGCTGAGGCTTCTCTCTAAGACAGTATTTTTTAATTGATTAACTAATTAATTAAAAAGCATCTTTTCTCATTTTACATACCAATTCCAGTTCCCACTTCCTCCCCTCCTCGCACTCCCTCCACCTTCCCTCCAATCTCCCACCACCATCCATTCCTCAGAGAGAGAGTAAGGCTTCCCATGGGAATTCAACAAAGTTTAGAGCATTACTTTGAGGCAGAACCAGGGACCTCCCCCACTTTATCTAGGTTAAGCAAGGTATTCCTCCAAAGAGAATGGGTCCCAAAAAGCCAGTACATGCAATAGGGATAAATCCTGGTTCCACTGCCAGGGCCCCCTAGTCTACCCCAGACACAAAACTGTCACCTACATTCAGAGGTCCTACTTTGGTCCTAATGCTTGTTCCCCCCCCACACACACACTGTTAGGCCAGAATGGAGGAGCTCAGGTGAACTGTTTCAGTGGGTATCTCCATCATGATCTTGACCTCTTTGCTCATTATCACTTTTCCTTCTCTTCGACTAGACTTTGGGAGCTCAGCCCAGTGCTCTGCTGTGGCTCTCTGCATCTGCTTCCATCAGTTGCTGGATGAAGGTTCTATGATGACACTTAAAATAGTTATCAATCTGATTATAGGGCAAGGCCAATTCAAGCATCCTCTCCATTATTACTTAGGGTCTTAGCTGGGGTCATCCTTGTGGATTCCTGGGAATTTCTCTACTGACAGGTTTAAGACAGTACTCTTAAGAGGTTAAAAATTATTATCAATTATATCACATATTATAATTTAGAAATACACATTCTAAGTTCTATTAGAATGTATGGATTATTTTAAACCTGAGAACATAACAAGTTATGGATTTCACTGTAAGGTTTCTAAAGGTGAGGTTTCTTTTTATTCATACTTTATGATGCTTTAGGATTTCTGGGCACAGGCAGATAGACCAGGGTGGGTCCAAAAAGCCCCTTGGGCAGTGTGAGGATGCAGTTCAAGGAGGCTTTCTTCCTTTCAGATCTAAGGAGCATCCATAGTAAAGAGGTGTACGTAGGCTGCTGGGCTGTCAGAATGACAGCTGATGATGGGAGCCATTCTGGGCCTAGCTTCAGGGGCAGAGCTCTATTTCCATACCTCAGTCTACTGAAGCAGCAGTCCTGAGTAGTTCCTCTACAAAGACCGGTCAGAACTAAAGTAAAATCCAGGCACAGTTTATACCACTAGAGGCAAAGAACCTAATAACTAGCACTGCAGCACAAGGTCTACTCTGAGGCTAACTTAATAGCTGGGTCTTTGGCCAACAATTACAGCTGCTTAACACAACACCCCCAGACCAGTTCCTCTAGTTTCTGTCATAAGCCCTGGGTCCAGGAGATAAACCCTAAGGAAGTCAGAAAGAAAGAGCTTTGCTGCAGTGGCAGAGTTAGAGCCAAAGGCTGTGGTCTTGAAGGATTAGCTGAGCTGAATGCTCAGGGCTGGGTCTCCCATGCTCCGCTGTTGAAATAGGAGCAGCGGGGCTGCGTCCCCGGCACCCGGCCCCGCATGGCTAGCTTATGCCCGAAATAATTACACGGAAACTGTATTCTATTAAACACTGCCTGGCCCGGCTAGTTCCAGCTTCTTATTGGCTAGCTCTTACATATTGTTCTAACCCATTTCTAATATTCTGTGTAGCCCACGAGCTGGCTTACCAGGGAGGATCTTAACCTGCATCTGTCTGGAGTGGGAGAATCATGGCAACTCCCACTAAGCTTCTTTTTCCCAGCATTCTCCTCTGTCTACTCCGCCTACCTAATTTTCTGTCCTATGAGGGCCGAGGCAGTTTCTTTATTATTAACCAATGAAATCAACAGATAAGATACAAGCCCCACCTCCATCACTCCGCTTCAGTGGATCTCACATGGAGCATCTTTTCCTTCTTCATGCTAATCATGAAGATTGTGATTTCTTTTTTGTTCACTGAACAATTGCTTGTTACTCAGACACTGAACTGCATAGAACCTGAGGGCCTTTGTCCTGTTGGCTTGTGATGTCTTGGACACATTTCTTACAGATTGGATGCTGCCCCATATTTTCTATAATCATCAGTCAACAGGTCACCAGCACTATAACCAGGATGGAGCAAATCACCACTTCCTAATAGAGTGTGTACTCTGTCAGTGGGACAGTGGGATGGAGGTTGTCTGCTAGATACCGAACTATTGTTATTAGCAAAGCTGTGTCTTAGGAGCAAAGTGCTTACCTGGAAATTAAAACACTTAGTTAGCTCAGATCCATTTATTGCCATTTTTCTTCACCTTGCTTCTCAGGTAGGCTGTGATATAAAATCGGTTTCCTTATATAGATAAGCTAGTTAGTGTACTTTGAAAAAGATATGCAGGGTCTCAGGTAAATTTCCCCAGCTGCTCAGGAGACTCAAAGACAAGTGTAGACTTTTATCCTTGGCTAAAGATTAAGACTCAAACAAGTTGGTTATCTTTTTGCTTGGTGCATTTCTTTTCTTTAATTCATTTTTTAGGTATGTGTGCGTGTTTGTCTATATGTGCATCACATACCTGCAATGGTCCAAATAGGGCATCAGATCCCCAGGAACTGAAGTTACAGGCTGCCTGATAGGGGTGCAGGGAACCAAACCCAAGTCCCCTGCAAGAACAGCAAGTGCTTTTCAACTGCTGAGACTCCAGCCCTAAACCAACTCTCTCTTACAAGTCTAGAAAACAGGACTCATGCAATGAAAGAAAAAAAAAAAAGCTTTCCTTCAGAAAGGAGGTCTGAGGGTCTGCTCTTACGTATAACCAAGGGAAAACAGACTAGCTCGGATAAACAGAGGCGACCTCATCTCACATGCCTACTTCTTAAGTAGAACGTTTGTGTGCACAAGGTTCAGTCTTCAAGAACATATTGTTGTGATGAAACTGTTGTATAGAATTAAAATGTACTGGAAAATAAGCAGATGTTACTTTTAATTTAAAACATTTTGATCATGTTTTTACCTTTCCTCAACTCTTCCAAGATTCTCTCCACCTCCCTACCCACCCAACTTCATAACTTCATGCAGGTTCTCTTTCTCCCCTTCCCCTTCTCTGCTATTTTGATCTCGAGGACATTTTAATGTCAGGAAACAACCTAAATTCTAAGTAAAGATTAACCTAAAATTATATTTTAAATCTGAGTCTTTGAGAGCAAAGAGAATGGGGTTCCAGTTTGTTTTGATTTTGTGTGTGTGCTTTCTTTGAAACACTGTAGGCCACAGCATTATTGAAAAAAGTCCTTACAGAAGAATGTGACCACAGGTCAGCTGTTCACAGCAATGAATCGTCTTGCAGCATGCCATCTATTCTGAATGACAATAATGGAATAAAGGAAGCAAAGCCCGCTCTGCGGCTCAACAGTGTTCTTACAAGGGAACAAGGTAACCATTGTTAAACAGTGTCCACAGCAAAAAGGCATTCCAAGTCAATGCAGCATCCTCCTTCTGGGGTGTTACTATAAAAGACGACTAACTAAAGCCTAGCTCAGGTTTTAAGTGTATGGTCTGTCTTTGTTCTATGGTACCTTCCAATTAATATACACGTTCTCAGTCAGGCAGGAGTGGGAACCCTAAGTGTTGTTCTGTTAAGCTTCTAGTGAAATAAAATGCTCACAAGTTAAAAAAAAAAACCTTAATCCCATCACTTATGTGTCCTTTAGACAAATAAATAGACAAGAATTGTAAATGAAGAGACAGTGAAAAAGAAACATACAGCGGGTTGGAGGAGGGGTTAAGAGCACTGGCTGCTCTTTGGGAGAACTCGGGTTTGGTTCCCAGCATCCATATGACAGTTCACAACTGTCTGTTAACTCCAGCCCTCTTCTGGCCTTCAGCAGGCACGAGACACAACATACATTTATACATGCAGGTGAAACATTCTTGTACATAAAATAAATCTTAAAACACCTAAAGGGCTGGGAGTGTAGCTCAGGGTACAGAGAGTTTGCCTATCATGTGTGAGGCCCTAGTTCCACCGCTAGCACTGAAGAACAAATCTGATCCATAAATTTGAAACACATTTTTATTATGTTTTTACTTTTAGAAGTTTCGAGTGTCTGTGGAGATGAGAGTAAGGAAGAAAGCATAGCTGCAACCCCAGCCACAGGTAAAGCTGTAGATGTTTCTGATTTTGTTTTTTCTTTCCTGTAGTAATCAGACTGAAAACTGCTTAAAACTAATGTTCTAAAAAAATGTGCTAGGTAGAAATTTGCTCATACCCCAGGTACAAAAGCCTGTCTGGCAATTCAAAAGTCTCAATAATCATGCTTTGTCTATCAAGACCTATTAAGACTTCTGCACATGTATTAGGTGTGTTTATAGGTGGAATCTGAATTGTATCATTTTTTAGGCTTAAAATATCAGCAAGCAGCAATTAGTATTCTGAACAGAACATTATTTGTTATACATCTAAATTCACTAGATCCTTATTTTGTAAAGTGCTGTGTTGCTTCATTATGAATTCAAAGGTCTGACTTTAAATATTTATACAAATAAACACACCATTGCTGAGGTACTGAGGCATGCATCTGTGCATGAGGTAGTTTTGTTTTCATTTACAAGCAAAAGTGAATGGCTTGCTCCTATGGTAATATAGTTCACGGCATGATGATTAATTTTTAAACTCAAGTTTCTGTTATAAACTCTTGTTTTGAAAATGGAGTTTATAGCAGAGCAATTATTATGTATGTGTAACATTTTACTCCCAAATACAAAGATTTTCCTTAGTTTAAATATTTTTTTCCCAATTGATGTTCATTGTGCTTTTATTTGTCATTTTGAGAAAATGCTAATAGGGTTCCCTCTGGGTTTTGTTTGTTTATTTTTGTTGGTGATGTTTCTAAAAGTATAGATGATTCATAAGCTGTAGATGTCCGTGAAGTCCTTTGGTTATATTTTTATTTGGTATATATTTATTGATACCTTTGAGTGCAGAAGTATTTAATGACCTCTGGATGTATTTCAGTTAGGACTATAAACCTGTGATCACAAAGGGCCATCTGTAAACTTATTTAAAATAAGTTGTAACTTTAACAGCCCACCCTCCATCTGTCAATAGTTGACAGAGAATACCATGCCCTAGTGTACTGAAGTCTTAACTGTATTATAGCACAGGAGAGCTGCATCTGTTGGAGGCAGAGGCAAGCAGATCTTCCAGTTCAAGGCCAGTCTGGTATAAAGAGCAAGTTTCAGGCTAGGTAGTGGTGCATGCCTTTAATCCCAGTACTCGGGAGTCAGAGGCAGGCAGCTCTGTATATTGAAGTCCAGCCTGGTCTATAGAGTGAGTTCTAGGACAGCCAGGGATACACAGAGAAGCCCTGTCCCAAAATAAATAAATAGATTAAATAATAGTGTTGAAGTCCTGGAAAACTTTGTAAAGTTATTTTTCCTAGAGCATTGCTGTTTTGTCCTCTCCACCCATGGGCTTGTCCTTCTAAGCGTCCCCCTGTAGCCTCTTAGGATGTTCGTGCTTGAGACAGGGCTTCTCTGTATAACAATACTAGATATTAGACACTCGAGACCTGCTGCCTGTGGTCCACAGTAATAGTACAAATGTTGGTAACAATGGGGTCTTTTGTGCAGGATATCACACCCCCCAACACTTACAAATCAGTTTCTAGCCCTCAGTTAAAAGGATTCTTACAAAACAAGCTCAAAGAGTAAAACAAACAAACAAAATAATCATAGGGGTGAGAATGCAATGCCTCAGAAAAAGAAGTCCCTAGGTGGGCCTGCATGGTGGCTGGCTGGCTCCAGTGTGTCAGGCTGTCACTGCTCAACCTCCCTGAGTTATGACATGACTGAGGCCCAAGACCAGCCTGAACATGGTGTAGCTGTGGCTCATCGGGGATAGTACTTCCCAGCAGTACTGCTGAGTTAGCTCTTTCAGGACAACTCCACTTGAGAACACAGCCAATGATTTGACTCCAGAAAAATATTTTTAACTCATCAGGAAAAGAATCCTGAAGAATTTCTGGATACTTTTGGAAATTCCAGTGAGTTCCACAAGTGAAACCCTTACAGGTGAATTGCAAACTGGCTTCTGGGATCTTACTGATCAGGCTGGGGGTGTCTGGTTCTGTGTGCCTAGAAGCCCTTAGTGACTCGATGCTCACAGATGAATGGACTGCAAGGTATTTGATGGCCATGCAGAAGGCCTTCCCTAATGTACTGTCTCATAAGTATTGATGAACAATGCAACATTACCCAAAATGCACTCTATGCAGAAATTATTTCAATGAATAACATAGTTTGAGGCCAACTGTACAATATCTTTAACTTTCTGTAGCATACATAATGTGCATACCATGATAAAGACTCAGAAGGAAACTGAAAGTGTGAGCTGCCATTTCACAACTGTGTTGTGTAGTTGAAAATGAAGTCCTGGTTTTTGTTGCTGTTTTTTGTTTTGTTTTGTTTTGTTGTTTGTTTTGTTTTTTGAAGCAGGGTTTTTCTGTGTAGCCCTGGATATCCTAGAATTTGCTATGTAGACCAGGCTGGATGAAGTCCTTAATGGCCAAGAAAATTAACTTTTTTTTTTTTTTTGTGAAACAACCGTGGAACACATACATGGGACCATTCCTTTTTCTTTTTTAATTTTATTTAACTTTACATATGAGTGCTCTGTGTGTACACCTGCAGGCCAGAAAATGGCATCAGATCCCATTGTAGATGGTCATGAGCCACCATGTGGGTGCAGGGAATTGAACTCAGGACCTCCGGAAGAGCAGCCAATGCTCTTAACTGCTGAGCCATCTCTCCTGCCCCTGGGACCTTTTCTTAAAATAGAGATCCAGTTGGGTATCAGCTTTCTCAGTAGAGTAAAATTATCCTCAATTGTTTTTCTGTGCACCATTTTGTGGGACCTTCCTAGTGGATGAAATTGCTTTCTAATGAGACTTGGGGCTACTCAAACAAAATTATATTGGGGTGTTAGAATTGAAAACTACTTATAAAACTGCCCCTCAGGCTAACCAGAAGGTAATAGTAGTAACTTTGGTGTCTGGAAAAGCTCTCCTGTTTGCTTTGCATCCTTTTTAGAAGGAAATAGGAAAGCAAGAAGGCAAGGTGACGTCTAGGGCAGGTTCCAGGCTGGGTGGAGAACTCTGAGATTACACTGTTCTCAGGATAAGAGTCCTGAGACATTAACATAAGAAGGGCACACCTGCTCCCTCTCTTTTTCTGTATATTTGAGGAGCTACTCTGTGCAAAGTCCATCATTTACTGAACATAGCTAAAGTACAGATCAGTAACAGAGGCTTTCTAGCTTTCATATCATAAATGGGCTGAGAACCTGAACCACAGCCGGCCCTGTAGTAGGAATTCTTGTTATAGATCCTGTCATGCCTTCATACAAGACTGTGATTCTCCCTGTACACTAAGGGAATGAATGTATTGTTGTGGGATAGTTGTCCACTGTGTGACGGTGGATTGCTATGACTGGTGTAATGAGAAGCTGAACAGCCAAAGCTAGGCAGAGGTCCAGATAGGACTTCCAGGCAGGGAGAGGAAGTAGGAGGAAGAATCTAGGCACTCAGGGGAGTTGCCAGCTGGCGATGCAAGGAGACACAGAGGAAGCAGGATGGGCAGTACATAAATTAATAGAAATGGGTTAATTTAAGTTATAAGAGATAGTTAAAAACAAGCCTAAGGTAAGGCCAAGCTTTTATAATTAATAAGTCTCTGTGTTGTTATTTGTGAATTGGTGGCCCAAATAAAGTCGACTATAATATGCCAACATTCTAATGTCTTTATTTTCCCTTCTTACTTATGCCATCCCAAATGTTAAGTCTTCTTAGCAGAGAAGTTCATTCTTAATTTATTATTCCTCTAAAGACATCTGCTCTGTTAGTCATCATAGAAAAAGTAAGTTTTCTTCACCAAGATTTAAATAGAATGCCCCTCATAATAGCACTCATTCCCCAGTCAACAAGACCAAGTATTTCTACAGACTAGTCTGTTGTTAACACACTCTACCCCTTTTGATTTGTCTAGTATCCTTAATAAAGAATCCAGATAAAACATATGAATGTCACATCTATGAACATATCTTTTTCTTTATATGATAAGTAATATACCATTTACATGTTTAATGTATTAGCCTGTTACTTAGACTGAATCTCGGGATATTAAGGTCAGAAAAGAATGCCTCTGCCCTCAGTAAGCCTCAGGCATTTTGTTGTTGTTGTTTTATTTTGGTTTTTTGTTTGTTTGTTTGTTTGTTTTTTCTAGACAGGGTTTTTCTGTAGCTTTGGAGCCTGTCCTGGAACTAGCTCTTGTAGACCCGGCTGGCCTCGAAGCCTCAGTCATTTCTAATATTCACAATAGTCCTGCAGGACTCAATTTGAGTAGCTCATCCTGACGTCAAACAGAAGCATAAGGGCTAGCTCAGTGGATGTGGAATCCAAGTCAAACTTGAGGGTTCGATGTTTTCATTCCTCCATCTTGTCTCTTTTGTTATAACAGCAGAAAGGCGGCTGCATTCAGGCATCTGGGTCAGTTAGAACTCAGTGTACATCATAGCAAAAGATGGGTTTACCAAAGAAGTTCTGGGGAACAGTGTTGAGCAGTCATACCTTTCCTTTCTCTTTGACTACACCTAGAGAAGTGAGCAACTTGCAAAAATTTTCCAAGGCCAGACTTTCCTTTTCTAAAGTGTGATAGGCCTGACCACAGCTCGACCATCTTCATCCAGATGAAGGATGCAGGATATTCTGGTCAGTTTCCCTGGAAGCACTCAAGCCAGAAGGAAAGTGATGCTTAGTAAGATTATGAGAGAACATGTCCCTCTGAAGTACTCACATCCTCAGTGATGACATTTTAATTTGTATACTAATGTCCCTTTCAGTATCAAGCTTTAGTTTAAGCAAATGATACAACTTACATTAAATCATGAAAACCAGCTCCTTACATAGTATGTACCACACAGTGGGCCCTTAATTTGTCACACAAATGAATAAAAATGGGGAATTAAGGAGTTTCTTTAAATGCTTGTTGATTCAGGCCAGAACACTATCTCTTCAATCACTCACTCCACTGCCACTTTTTCCACCCCACGTGCCCATCCTGGCAAAACTCATCACCTTAAGCTGCATGTGAAAAGGGCTGTCAGCTTTCATCTCAAGAGGATTAAGCCTCTAAGAATGTCCATTCAGCCCCTCATTCTTTTAACACCAATTCTGTTGGTCAAGCTGTGTTAAAAGTGTCGCTTCCCTGTGCCATTCCTCCTCAATATTCTCTGGCCAGCTGAAATACTCCCAGCGTCACACGGAAGCATCCGCTGAGAAGCTTTACAGGTCAGATCAACTTGCAGGGTGCTGCTTGGAGTTCTGGACACTGCCCTCCAAACATTACAGCTTCTGTTTTATACCAGGCTGAAAGGGAGCTGGACACATACAATGGCCAGGTTGTCACTGGTGACTGGATTTACCCCAGGAGAAAAGAATGCAGTGACAAGTTTGGGCCACCCAAGTGTAATGGCATATAACCTCCAGGACTGCAAGTTCACCAAGAATGCTTTTTTTCTTCCCTTGTCTCAGAAGTGCTTTACTCGGAAGAATTAGTAGAGACAAGTTATCTGCTGTGCCTGGGTCACGGAACTTCAATGAATGTGAAAGCAGGACGTGGTTTACTGCAGTGTTGCCCATGGTCGTTAGCACCTCTGTCTCTAGGCAGAAGGCAGCCTGACAGCGTCTCTGCCATTGAGCCTATTACCTGCTGCTTGCAGCTGGGGGACAGACGTGTTCAACATCGATGTGAAAGAGAAAAAAAAAAGACCTTTCTGAGAAGTGCTGTTGATTAGTGTGTCAGCGCTTAAAGACATGAAGTCGTAATTGAGAAGAGAGGCCCCCAGTGAATATGCAGTAAAATTCCATGTGGGCTTCCTGCGCTGTGCTACAGCAGAGCTCAATGTAGATCCCAGGTGTAAGCATTTTATGACACAACCAAGTCAGTCTCCAGGTTGAGAATTAAGCAGTGGGAGTCTCAAAGCTGGGAGAGCCTCTACAGTAGATTGTCAAAAGACCTGTATTTTACATAGGCAATTGAGATCAAGAGAAGAGGTTAGAATTTAGACATTTTCATGAAATCAGGACTCAGATACAGCCTCATTTTCCTCGAGCTGCTGTGACAGGTGCCATAACCTTACCAGGCGCAGTGACCTTCACCTGTAGTCCCAGGTCCTCAGTAGGCTGCAGCAGGGGAGCATTGGTGCTAACGAAAGCTTCCCTCAGCAACAAAACAATGCCACAAACCTGAGAATAGAACAGTTCAAGATGCAAAAAACCAAGGTACCACCAGGGTGGGGCACCAGGGAAGAATTCTTCCCAGCCCTGTGGTTCTGGTTTGTGGTGTTTCCCTTCAGTGTTTGCCTCTGCTTTATTTCCTTTTCTGTGTTTGTGTGTCTACTCCTTTTAGCAAGTAGATGCCAGCCATTGGCTTAGGGCCCAGGGAAAAGGCAGGGAGATATCATCTTGCTCTCCTTAGCTAACGTGTCTGCAATAATCTGTTACCAGAAAGATCACATTCTGAGGTTTGAGTGGATTTGAATTTGGGCTGGGGAAGTCAGTGAGATATTCAATCCACTGTAGGGTTTAAGAAGGCTATTCTTGATATTTTACATTTCTAGCATTTGAGTCACCTCATACCCATTATTCCTGGCCATTCTGTAAGTAGCAAAGATAATGCCAATATTTCTGATCCCTTCCAATGTATAAATTATTTAGTATCAATTGCTAAAAGTGATTTTTCCAGAACTGTTTAGGGCCTGGAGTGCAGCTTAGTGATAGCGCACCTGCTTAACTTGCATGAGCCGGTGAGTTCACTCACCGGCACTAGGGAAAACGAAAAGCACTGGAATATACTGTTAAAACCCAGCTTTTCACAGAAATCCCTCAATCTTTTAAAAGTTAAAGGTTCCCTGAGTTTGAGAGCTGAAAATTTGCTTCCTGTTACTATACAGTGATAAGCAGCAAGCAGTGTGGTGGTGAAGTTTGTAGGAAGTACAGTTGTCGTTCAGTGTACAAGGGGAATGGGCACACATGCTCAGCTTCCGTACATAAAACTGTTTTGTGTCTTCATATGGTCTACATACATCCTTCCATGTACTTTAAATTATCTCTAGATACTTTTAGCACTTAATATGATGTAAATGCTACATAATAGTAAGTCATTCAGGAAGTGAAATCAAGAAAAAAGTCTGTACATACCCAATACTAATATATTTTTTTCCAAAATCTTTTTAATCCATGTTTGGCTTTTGGACCTGTGGATGTGGAACTGAAGGACACAGAGAAGCAGATATAGTACCCTCAGAGCTATTTCAGTTCAGCTTGGGAGCAGCCATGAAAGGTCAGTGACAAACCTGGCATTTGTTTTCAGGTTTAACTGTTGAGTTGTTCACAGACATTAAAACTAGAATGTAAATCTATTTTCTGACACTGCCCCAGGCCCACTGTGAATTAGGAGTGTTCCTTGTGTATCAGCAGCACTCGTGGAGAAAGCAGATAGAGAGACCTCACAGTGGATTTGCTGATCTAGGTCTCCAGGGGGACGAGTTTAGCACCAGAAGTCGAGATGTGAGGATTCCTCTGGGCCAGTGCTGCCCACATTCATAGACTTTTGGCCTCTTTCTCTGAAGTCTTAAATATACAAGAATTTTTTATATTTTCATAATTGTAAAAGCACTCATATTTAAATATTTTTTTATTTGAGCAGATTACTAGATAGCTGATTTATGGACTTAAATGATAATATATGTCTTTTGAATTAATTTTAGAAATATATTTTTTGCTTTTAATTTTATTTTGCAAAAGCAACTGAGTTCGATTTCATCGGCAATGCATCTAATATAAATGGAAAAAACATTTTTAATGTCTAGAAATCCATGAAAAGTAATAAATAGAACCTTAGCATTCTTTATACAGAAAGCGTTTTTCAATTTTAATTTTAGAATTTCTACCCACTTCATATAGGAACAGTACTTATATGCCCTGAGTTAAATGCCCCAGTTCTTTGTGAGTTCAAGGTCTGGTTCCCTTGCAGCGGTGATAGTATTGTTTGTATTTCCCTTTGTTATTCCTTTCCAGGCCAGCTCTTTTTTTTTTTTTTTTTCATTAAGGATTTCTGCACAAGCACTGGGCAGATCCTTGCCTCCAAACACCCCTTAGAGACTGGTGAGACACATGGTATCTTGTAATGGGCTGTTAAAAGCACTTGTTCATCAGATATTTTCTTTTTATTTGTAGATTTAGGAGTATTTTAGCAGGTGTACATTTGCATATAAAAGAGAATAAAAGATAAGAAGTTGGGGCTTTTTCTTTCACCTCTCCTCAGCATCATCTCTCTCCTAGCCCCTTTATTCAGCATGTTTTCACCTTTTTTTCTCTATAGCTGCTTCTATTTTCTAGACCAAAAATGTATACCAAAAAGAAAAAAATCGCCTCAGCACTTTGCAGGGAGATGAATGATTGGGTTCCAGCTGATGCAACAAAGTAGAGGAAAAATATATTTATCTTGTTGCATCATCAGACTGGAATTAAAAAACAGGATGGATTTTCATATCTTGGGGACTGGATACTACATGGGATGTAGACCTCTTGCCTTGTTGTATGTTTTAAACTGCAACATTTTCTACTTTTAAGCTTAAGTTTGACATAGAATTGAATATATAATGGTGCTTGACTGCAGGATTCAGAACCAAAAACTTGACAATGTATATACATTTGTTTCTATGTATGAAAAGAATTGACTTCTTTTAAAAGGTTGGTTTCATCTAATAATTTTTATTACTCCATATTTTCCGAGTGGCTAATGTTACAAATGAAAGCAGTGTTTCCCTGGCGTTCCCAGGCACAAGCTACAGTGTGCATCAAGCCCTCAGCAGCCACCTAGTCCTCAGATTTTCGGATTTATGCCATACTTACAGCCGATTCTTTATCCCTTAGTCCTTTGTTTATAGTGGGCCAGCTTTTATTTCTGCATTGTTACTTTGTCTCCTTTATTCACTTCTTCTTGGCTTTGTAACTGCATTGCAAGGCAGCAGCCCACTGCAACTTCAACTGCAGGATATTCCTTGCTCTCTTTTTTCCTTACAGAGGAGCCTGGGCCCATGTTGCCAAAAACTCAAATGCATTATTTGGCCTTTTTGCACTGTGAGTTGGCTTCGGGGATCTGCATTCTTTGAGAACCTCTTGCAAAAAGTATACTTGCCTGCAAAGACGAAGCTGATCCACAACCACTGAACATATCACAGCTGACACAACCCCTCCGGATCATGTTGAGGTCCGTGCCTTTTCAGGAGGGCTTTCCCTAGCATCTCACTTGTACCTTTGGCTGCAGCTTTGATGATCCCTCTGTGCACCTGGCCTTGCTTTCTGCAGGCAGGCTCCCTCTCCTTAGCCCTTGCTGTCAGATTTTTACTGAACCCATCCTATTGCCTCTGCCCCTCCTGAGATCTTTGCATTCTCCCTCCTCTCTCTCAGAGCCCCACTCTCTAGCATATGAGCCTGAAAACCAGGGCCTGGAGTGCTCTGGAGTTACCTGCCTACCCAGGATACATCTGCAGGGCTTGGGAAGGAGAGAAGGTATTCATGTGCTAGTGAATCTATCCACAGTCCACCAAAAAAGCTGAGTGCAATTCGCGGCCTCAAATACTCTTAAAATTCAACCCGAATCTTAAAATTTAGGTCCAACACAATTTTTATTTGTGACACACACCTTTTATGCCATCACTTGGGCTCCATAGGGAGACCGTGCATCAGTGTTAGCCACATAAAAGGAATGTAAGTAACAGTTATGAACAGTGGAAATATTTCTGTGCTTTTCTTCATTTTCTTCATCTATAGAGACAAAAGCCTACCAGTTACTGAAGAAGTCTACCCTTCAGGATAATTCGAATCAAACTGAAGAGAGATTTGAAAGTCAATTTTCAAGTAAGGACAAATTCAACACTTGAATCCTGTTTTGGGCTCAGGACAACAACTATCCTATGTTGAGAGAAGTGTGGTTTTAGAGTTTGCTTTGTGAGGAGTGTTACTGAGTCTGAGTGAGCAAGAACTTCGTCATCCCTAGCAAACAAACATTTGGAAAGTCCCCGCCTTCTGGGAACATGGGGCTGGCCCAGCATGGTAACGGCTCTCACAGACTCTGCGGTTCCACCTGGTGTTCCACAGTGGTGTCTTTTCACCAGCTGTCACAGAAGATGCCCCTGTCTTCTCTTCCCCACATCATCAGATGAGCAGCTTTGTGATGCGTGTTCACTCTGTGGGAAGGGAACTTCTCCTAAGGAAAGGTCTGTAAACCCCAGTAAGGTAAAATGTAGGCTTAAATATAGTTCCTTTAGCATAGGATTTCGTTTCTACTTTAATTTTCTTATATTTTCTCATTTTACATATATTATTTTAGTGATTTTCATCTTATATCTTATTTTTAGGTATTACTCAATTTAGCATCCTTTATAAAAGATACATAATACAGGAGAAAGTGTATGAGTAGCTTTATTTTATTTTATATATATTTTATTTTATGTACATGAGTGTTTTGCCTGCATGTATGAATGTGTATCATATACATCCCTGATGCCCATGCATATCAGAAGAGTGTGTTGGATTCTTTAGGACCATGGTTAACAGTTGACTGTGGGCCACCATGAGAGTTCTGGGAATTAAACCCCAGGTCAACCAGTGCTCATAACCACTGAGCCATCTTCCCAGCTCAGAGTGGCTTTAGGTTTCTGTGATCAGAGTTGTACAGAGATTTATTAATGTCATACAATTCTTGGACTATATTCAGATTTCAGGTTGTATTGATCATTTCTTCCTCAGACAGACACCTTTTCAAGACACTTGCTTTTGATGCATCAGAACTGTATATGTTTGGAGAATACATGGCTAGGTAATATTAGTGGTTGTATATTTATTTTTGGTTGCTTTAAGGATTCATTGAACCACTTTAGGTTAAAGACCCCTCCTGGGCAAAACTTTTGGTGGCTATGATTTAACTCTGAAAATACAAAAATCAAAGTCTCTTGGAGTATAAAGCAGGACCTCTTTCCTAAATGAGATCCTTACTGCGTTGGAAAGATTTTAATGCCTCTCATCTTTCTGTTCACATTTGAGTCATACAATCTGAATCAAGACTGGTCTTAAAGGTGTTTGTCCAGCCCCCTCATTTTATAAATAAGGTCCCAAGAGAGCCATGCCTTGCGCCAAGCATAACTGCTTAGCAATCCACATGACTGGGAATGGGGTGCTGCAATGATTTGGCAAATGTATTTTGATACCTAATTGGGAGGTGCAAAAGATGGCTGGCTATTTGGCATAAATTGTCATCTTTTGGCTGTCTATAAAATTATACTACTATTAAATATATTAATAACTTATTTCAAATAGTACTATTTGAACAGTTCATAGACAGTGTATTTTGATCATAGCCTGTTAAACTTTTCACGCATGAAAAGAAACATCACAGGTTGTACAGCTAAGTACAGGCAGGTCAGTTTCCTAGGGCCATCTCACAGTGACACTGTATTCCTTGAAAGACTCCGTGGTCTGATGGTAGTAGTATTGGGCACGAGCCCTCGGAATGATGGAGCTTTGCATGCACTCTCCACTGGCTGTGCACTGTCTTCTCGCTTCTGCTGTCCGCAGGTCCTATGGGCTGCAGAGAAGCAATCGACCACCTGTGAGGCAAAGGGAACCTTCCCAGCACTTAAAGGTGGTGTGGATAGGACCCTCATCCTCACCCCTCATTCCTGAAGGAGCAGTGGTCTTCAGTTACTTTCCGAATTAGATGGTTTAGGTCTCTGTCTCCAGATCTGTTACAGAGGAAAACCACTTAAGTTTTGGACTTAAGAGTGGCCTTGGTGGCCTTTAGCAGAAATTTATTCTTTGTGGGGTGGAAAACAGGTTTTAGCAAAGGGGCTTTGGAGTAGGCAGTGTGGATGCTTGTCATCCAGGAGTTTCACTTGTGTCTGAGACCTGGTTCCCAGTACTTGTCTTGGTGAGCCGTCCCTGCCTAAGTCCTAACCAAGGGAGTTATTCAACCCATGTTCCTATGTGTACATCTTGGCCATTTCAAGCAGAGGACTTAGCTCTAGGTCACATGGTTGCCAAGCACATTTGAGGAGGCCCAGGGTTCAGCCCCCATACCACAAAATAGAATGAAAAATTGACGTAAAAGCAAAACTCTTTGGGTAGTTTTGGGTTTTGTTTTGTTTTTTATTTTACCTTTTTTTTCTATTACAAAGAAAATTCTCATTTTTTTTGCAGTGATCTGTGAGTATTTTTCCTGCATAAAACCTTCTGTAATTTAAACAGAATTTTCCTCTTGATTTTCCAAAATTATCATGTGGCTGTATCTGCGCTTGTTTTGTGGCTGTTTGGTGGCTAGCTCTCACTCTCCTTGTTTGTGCTTGTCACAGGTTTGGATATTGGCAGCAGCACATTCAAGACAAAGACAGCCCACAAAATCGCTTTGGAAGCTAGTTTTTCATCTAGTGAAGGAAGTCCTTTGTCAAGGTAAAGTCGTGAAAGCCTTTCTGAATAGCAGTAACAAGATGAGAAATGTCACTAAGCAGTGAATTCAGCCCTGGCTGCTTGTTATTTTGTTGTATGACTTGATGGAGGGTTATGGTTTGGGTTTTTTGTTTATCTAAAATAACAGTTGAAACTTTAGTCTACCTCTGAAAATATTTGCACCAGAGCCAAGTATTGTTTTGCAGCTGTTGTTTCCTTGGTTTAAGACTCAATTGACACCTCAGTGAACCACAAATTAGCGTCTACAGCTGCTCGCAGTAGGACTGCTTAGAGACCACACAAAAGAGGTTGTCAGGAAAAGGGCAGGGAGAAAACATCAGGCCTTAAAAGAAATAAAGTGGCATGTTCTTCTTTCTGGGGAACTGATAGACGAACAGGCAATTGCTGTATGTTAGTTTTTGTGTGTGCTTTCTTTTTCTCTTAACAAGTCTTTGGGCCACATTACTCATTCCTTTTCTAATGCGTTCCGGCCTGTTCCCTTTAAAGAGCAGAATTGATGTTTTTACATTCGCTAGAATGTAACACTCCTTATAAGTTCTGATAAGTGAGTTGTGTGCTGAATTTGCCATCCACCTCCAATATGAATTGTGCAGTGACTTCCAGTCTCTTAGGAAGCCTTTCTAATGTGAATCTGAGCACCTGCCTAATGCAGTGCCTACTCTTTTACCTTTGGCTAAATACTATTTCAAGCAGCCTAGCAAGTTTCCTTTGCAATAGCATGCTCATTAAAAAAGTGTCCTTTAGATGATTGCGTTACCTTTGAATTTACTACTTGACCCTGCTAAAATGTTAAAACGTGACCTTTACATTTCTACTGCTGTGTGTAATGTCCACATAACAAAATGATTTGATCCAGAAATGTCATATTAAAGGGAAATGAAAATGGAAAAAATCTGTTCATTTGTGTTTTACAAAAACATTTCAGTATTTTAGGGCCTGGACTCTTTGGATGGGTTAACTTTCTAAAATTCTTGCTTTTAGAAACTTGATTAGTATCCAAGATGCTTCCTCATTTATCAGAACTTACCTTTAATCTTGGTTTTTGTTCACATTGTTGGGGAAAACAGGAGTTAACTGGGTTTGGCAGAGTGTTGAATACGATACTGTTAGGGTTACACTGTAAATTTAAGTTCTCAGTCTTTTAAGAGAATTTTAAAAGGTCAATAAATTCTATAGGTAGTTCCCAGGCTTAATGTTACTATTTGGCTTAAAAATTTATCCTTTCAGTTTTTAAGAGTGTTAGGAATATTTGTTTCCATTATATTTTAAAGACATAAAACAAGTTCTGTGGGAAGTCCTTAATCACACTTAGAAAGCAATAGGATTATGTAGGACATTTCCTCAACCTGGTCCTTCACACTTGGGCACATTTCAAAGATTAAAATTAAACTTTGTTTCCCTACAAATTAAAGCAAGAAGCCTCTTGTTATGATATGAAGCTAATTTCCTAATAAGTTATAGGTAATCTCATCACCCCCTCCCCCTTTAAGAAAAATAAACCCACTAAAAGGTCTTCCAGGAACCCTTGGTTCTAGACACTTGATAGTAATCGAGCATGAAAGGCTTAGACGGTGAGTGTGTACAGCTTGGTGTGCCGTTGGGCACAGTTTGGTTCTTGTGCTGGGGCTGTTATTGTTAATACCCCACCCTGGGCTTTGAAGAGCTCAGGTTCTGCTGTTTGTGCCTGGCTTCGCTGAAATTTCTTAGAGGCTTTACATTTAAGGATCCCACTTACTGCAGTCACTCCTTGTGCTTTATTGCTTTTACAAGTGGTCTCGAAACCCAGTACTTGAGAATAAACATAACAGTGCTGCGCGCTGTAGCACTTTTAAAAATTCTTCTTTGCTCTGTTTTGTCAGTGAGCTGATGAGCAACCTCAAAAAAAAAAAAAAAAAAAAAAAAAAAAAAAAAAGACCCTGTTGGACCTTAAAAAAAAATGGCTTCCTCTGATGTCCTAGAGACAATAATTATGATGTGCTAGTTAAGCCCAAACTACAGCTGAGGGATTTTACTTTAAAGCAGGGGCTTGGGCGCAAAAATGCATTTATAGCTCTTTGTCTGCACCTCATTATGTGTGGGCCTGATTCATTAAGTAATTGGTTTGCAGTTGTTTACATGAGTATTAAGGCCTTCTTTTCAGCCGCCTTTGAGAGATACATTGTGCAAATGTTGCCTGTGATGAATGCAGAATGAGGGCCAGAGGGTCCCTCCTATTGGCTAAACAGTGCACTCTGTTGAAAAGCCAGAGAAAGGGATTGGGTGCTGCTTTGCATAGCAATGACTTTCTTAATAAGCGTTACAGATTAATACACACAAGCTATAAAAGATGCAAAGAGATACTCTTAGCACATTTATACATGCTCATTTCATTGTGATGATGGCGGGGTCCCCGTGCTTTCATATTCTGTTCTTCAGAGCAGAGGCTTCAGTGCATGAGCCGTAATAGAATCCGATGTTTATTGTATTATAAATCACGGGCAAGTAGGCCGATCGGCAACAGTTTATTATTAAAGATTCTTTCAGTGTAAATCTTTTTCTACCATTGTATTTGCTTCAGTAAAATCATTTTGTGGTTGAGTGGGGATGAAAGGCATGATGTCCGAAGGAGTGAGTCCTAATAGGAAGCTGTTCTCCGAGTAAAGACCACTTGTTCCCTTTTGTTCCGGGGTGCATGCCGGAGCTTCCTCTCCTCTGCAAACATTGTCTCTCTTTACCTTCCCCAGGAGGCGGCTTCACTCTCCAGGATCCATTATTCAATGGAGACTGTATCAGCACAGCTCCCTTGTAACTTGGGCTTACCGGTTCCCTTGTAACTCCAGCCTTCGGGTTGAATCAAGATAAGATTTTTGCCAAAAGAAAAAGAGTGTGTACTTGCAACACAATTGCCTGGGGGAAAGGTACAAAAAGTCACCCGGCCACCCACACCCCTTAGCTGGGCCACCGTGGGTGGCATTCCTTGCCAGCCCTGCAGCGATGGGAGCGGCCAGCGGAGGGCGCCAGCCTGCAGCTGACGCTCAGATGGTGGCCGCAGCTTTCCTTTCTCATCTGATCATTTGTATTATTTTCCCTGGAATGGTTTAAAAATTCTTAGACACTAGTTATCCACGGAATTAGAAGCAAAAATTCCCTGGCAGGTCCTTATGTACCCTTATAAAAGTGCGCACCTCAGCCCGAGCTTAGGAAATCTGCTTTGACCTTCAATTTTACTTAATTAGAAGCTTCTTAAACAGTCCACATTTGCTGTCGTAAACCCATACGCTTTGTTTTTCGTGCACACAGCACTTTTGCTTAAGAATAATCACTTTGATTATTTGAAGGAAAAAAGTAAACAAGTTGACCCCAGGGCTGCTAAAATTACAGCATATGCTGTAGGAGCTCCAACTAGCCATCAGGGGGCGCTCAGGCTTTGTCAAATTTAAGCAGCCTCAGACGGTGGCCTTTTAAAACTTAAAATTGGTGTTCACGGAGATTTGTTGATCTAGCCATTTGTACTTATTTTCCTTTCTTTCTGGATTTCTTTTTGCCCTACATTTTTCCAGAAGTATGTTTATTTTGAAGAAAAATCCAATTAAACATGCTATTTGAAAAATTTTAATACTGATTTAAAGCCCACAGAAATTTTTGTGGTTCACAGACAGATACTACAGCTTACATCTTCTCATAGGTTAGTTTTTTAATGTCTTCTTATCCTCTGTGTGGGGGGCATACTGTGGGGGGACAGAGGTTAATGTTGGATGTTTTTGTTGATTGCTCTCTACACCTTATTTTTCAAGATAAGTTCTCTCATGAACCTGAAACTCATCCATTTGTCTAGATTCAGCCACTGAGTTCCAAAGATGTGCCTACTTCCGCCCCACCCCCAGCACATGGAGTTAGACACTGGGGATCCAAAGGCAGGTCTTCAAGCTTTCACAGCAGGCTCTCTCCTAGAACAGGGAGGGTGCAGCCCACCGAGAGCCAGCCTTAATTGTCCTTGCTGTCACAAGTTGTGTTCTTAGCAGGATCCTCAAAGTTAATTGCCAAATTTAAGTGGACCCCAAATCCAGTAACTTGGGTGTGTTTGTTAATGTGGAATTTTTCCCTTGTGGAAGAGAGGTGGGAGGGGCGGGGAGAGGAAGAGATAGAGCGAGAGAGGATTGGCCATCAGTATGTTGCTAACATTACCATATCCCCCAGTCTTCTAGTCTCTGCTTGTCCTCCTTTCAGGATCAGAAGTGAGTATCAAGCAGGCCCCATCCCAGTGTGCTTCATGTACCCCTCCCACTGGAGTAGCCACGTTCTAGGTGCTCTTGCTGACCTACTGTGTAGACTTACGGGATGTCCAGCACGGTGTCAAGTCTGCTGTCATGCCCTGACACAGCATACTGTCCTTTGTCTTTGAGGGTTTCGTTGTTTGACTGGAATACACCTACCCTACCATTTACCTGGCTTCAGTTAACTTTTCCAGTGCTTCCTGAGGAGAGGGTGACTGTGCCAGATGCCCTTCTAGTGGCCCCATGGTGTTCCTATCACCACCTAGTGAGGTATAAAAGCTGTTAGGTACCTGTCTCCCCTCCCCATGTGAGCCTCTCACAGGCACCCCAGGTCACTGCTGCGCTTGCTTAGAGTGTGCTCTGCCATCCACTCAAGCCTTCTTCTTTAAGCAAAAGTGCCTCCCCTCAGTCTGGCATCGCATTCCTGGGCTGAAGGGCAGTATATATTCTATACAGTTATCTGCGAGTGGTATGTATAGGAGAGGTATACACATTTTCAAAGGGAAATCTTAGCTCACGTCGAGTGAGGTCCTCTTCCCAGACTGTCCCAGTGCCATCTGCATTCCGTCTCGAGAAACAGGAACTAGGTGGACATGCTCAAGAAAGTCTTCATGGGCTCCTTCCTGACTGCCTTTCAGTCTGCTGATAGAAGACTGGTCTTCATCTTGACCTAGATGGGAATGTCTAGACTCTTGGCGCATGTCAAGGCCCTGAAACAGCCTTTATTGT